CCCCCCCCCACGTTCCCAAGTGATCCCCCTCCTTAACCCTGTCCGCCCCGGGGTGTTTTAGGTCCACTTTGAGCGGCCCTGTCATCAGATTGCGTTCTCCCAATGTCCGCACGATAAACGCGGGCGTTGTGGCGACCTCTGGACCCTCCTCTCTTCCCGCCCCATCCTCGCGTGCTCATTAGCATAATTAATGTCTCCGTCAGCGGACCTGGTACCTGTGGTCTACCACTCCAACGTTGTCCTTTGGCTGGCTGTGAGCTCCGGGTGAGTGACCGCCTCACGTACAGGTGGCGCCTTTGCTTCTTCTTCCGTTCTTTATCATTTTCTTTTTGATTTACGGGTATGATGCACAAGTATTTCTTTATCATTTTCTTTTTTATTTACGGATTTGTACAAATATTTCTCTGCCATTTTAATTGTAATTTACGAGTGTATGCACAAATATTTCTTTACCATTTTCTTTATAATTTATGGATTTGCACAAAATATTTCTTAATCATTTTCATATTGCTTTACGAATACGCACTCATTATGTGTTTATTATTTTTGCTTTGATTAACGGATACGCACAAAATATGCTGACAGGTTCCGAAGTCCGCCTCCTAAAAGATCTAAACTTTGTCGATGGGCGAGTAAAATCACTTACATTATGAAAGAATTATATGTTTCTTTATTATTATTTATTTTTTTGGCAGACGTAAAGTAAAACAAAAAAAAAACGTCCTGTGATTGTCATTTCGTTTTGCTGATGATGCACAAAATATTTCTTCATTATTGTCACTTTGATTTCGGGGTTTGCAAAAAATATTTCTGATATCATTTTCGTCCTGATTTTCGGATATGCACTTAATATTTTTCTTATAATAGCGGTAACATTCATCTTGAGTGAAGGGGAGTATGAGGAGGAACTGCAACCTAGCAGGACACGCAAAATAACGACAGGGTTCAACGTGCTGAGACTGAAACCTGAACTGATTTCCCCTCTGAAATGTCTAACATCCCCACTGTGCGTTGTAAGGGACTGGAACGCAATTAATGTCTTTTACCGCAGTTGAACAGCTCCCCAGTTGAGCTGGCTGCATCAGTAGGCTACCTTAAAATTACAAAGATCTATCTGACATTTTTGGTCATTTTGAGTAAGCAAGACCATGAGGTCTGAAAACAAATGCTCTCTATTTGTTCTATCAAAATTGTAAGATTGTTCAGATTTGTTATCAAGCTATTCAAAGAATTTCGAAAAAGCTTGACATGTGAAACTCAACATTTTTTACGTCAAATTTCTCAAAACAAAGTGCTGAGCAGATAGAACGTTGTAATTATAAGGCTGCGAGTGACCTAGGAAAAAAATGTGTAGTGTAGATGTGAAAATACTATCGAAGGAAGAGAACTTCGGGATGTTAGTGCTAGCACAATATTGTGATACAGTATCCCCTTTTCCGCGCACCGCAAGAGTGTGCAATAATAGTGTATCGTGATTAATAAAGAAAGTCGTTAACGAACTGTGAAAGTGTTGTTAGAGTGTGCCTACTATAGAATTTGCCTTTTCTATCTGTTTGTTTCTTATTAATTTTTTAAAATCTATTTCTTTATCTTTCCGTTTTTCCATTTGTTCGACCCCATCTCTCTCTCTCTCTCTCTCTCTCTCTCTCTCTCTCTCTCTCTCTCTCTCTCTCTCTTTCTCTCTCTCTCTCTCTCGATCCCTCTCTTCATCTTTCTCTCCCTCCTTCTCTCTCTCTCTCTCTCTCTCTCTATCTATCTATCTATCTATCTTTCTCTCTCTCCTTTTCCACCCTCTCTCTCTCTCTCTCTCTCTCTCTCTCTCTCTCTCTCTCTCTCTCTCTCTCTATCTTTCTCTCTCTCCTTTTCCACCCTCTCTCTCCCTCTTTTATCATCTTCCTCTCTTTCTCTTTCTCTCACTTTCTCTTCCTCTATCCCTCTCTCTTTCTCAGTTTACATCTTAATCACTTCTTCTTCTTCTTCTTCTTCTTCTTCTTCTTCTTCTTCTTCTTCTTCTTCTCTTCTTCTTTTTCTCGTCAGTTTTACAAAATTAGACACACACTTCTTTGGAACTGACCAATACTAGATGGGGACTCTCGTGGTCTAGAGGTACAGTGTTCGCCTCTCATTCAAAAGGTCCTGGGTTCGATATATGACAGCGTGGAAGCTATTTTCTTCTTTAGAATGTTCCTCTTTCACTTTCTCTCCTGCTTTCTAGTCATGATAGTTATCTGCCCCCCCCCCCCGCCCCCACACACACCATTGATCTCCTTTGAACTCCTTTCGCCTTTTCTCCTGTCTCTTTCTACCGCTACTCCTAGCTCCTTCTTACTACCACACCCCTGATCTTAGGGTAGGTAGGTAAGTAGGTAACATCGAACACCTAGCCGTCTCGGATAAGGGCAAACAATTTAATTTTGAGATCCCGTGCAGCCTACAGGGTACGCCCGTTAAAGACCCCTTGGTGATTCTAAAATCGATAAAAATAGGCTAGGGCCACCACTCGGGCAAAATTCAAAATTAATTCCTTTCAAAGCTGAAATTACTCTGGTCGGTTGAAAAACATTTAGATCCAGAGCACCTTCGAAAGCGGAATGTAGCTGCCTAGAGGCAAGGGGTACTATAATGTAGGAAAAAGGTCACACATGTAAAAAGTCAGTTACACGGCAGGCTGAAGAACCAGTTGTCGACTTCCCCTGCGATCTTGCAGGGAAACACAAACGAGTCCAACATTAATAATCGCGAATTCAAAACGTTCACCAAAAAAACAACAACCCCAAATAAGGGCAAAGCGTGGGGAAAAAAGAAAGTGTGAAAACGCAGCAGCAGCAACAGCAGCAGCAACAGTAGCAGCAGCAACAACAACAACAACAACAACAACAACAACAACAACAACAACAACAACAAATTTGCCAGTGCAGCTCATCATAATAAGTCAAGGGACACATTTTACAAAGTGGCATGAAATTTTCTTTCGTACGTATTCGTAATGTGAACTAGCTTGTCTGTGAGGACTGTACATGTTCGTAATCTGAATACTTCAGTGCGCGTGGTATTTTTTCTTTACTTTGTTAGTAATCTGAACGTGCATGTCGTTTTTTTTTTCATAGAGGTGTTAAGCACGCCTTATCGACGCAATTTCGATCATTTATTAGCAGGCAGACTTCCAACCCTGCCTGTTAGCGCCAACCCGGGCTGAGAGGGATACACCATCCCAGATATAAAGACCGAGGTATTCGTTAGAAATTTCACCCCACTCAGGAATCGAACTCGGTCTCCCACATTCGATAGTGTAGCACCTAACTGCTTAACCACAGACCCCGGTCGTCTGAGTGCTTGGTGTTTTACTTTACAGCAGTACATGCTCGGAATCTGAACGCGTCTGTCTATGTACCGTCGTATTTCGCTACCCTAGACTTACAAAGTTCTATCTGCTCAGTACCTAGTTTTGAGAAATATTATGACGTTAAAAAATTTGAGTTTCACAACTTGTCAAGATATCTAGTTCTTTGAATACATGTATTTTGATAATGATTCGAAATAACCTTACGAAACTGTAAGTTCATGGGTTCGAATTCCACCAGGGACTCGATGTTTATGTCCTCGTGAAAGGCACTTTGCACGCACTTTTCCCTTTTCACCCAGGTGGGATGGGTACCCGGTTATAAGGCGAAAACATAGAGAACGCCGAAACTTGAGCAGCTGAAGATCGAAGCCGATAGGCACTTGTAGGTGTCTGATTGACTCCAAATAGAGGGCGCCTAAAGCCTAGATCACTTTATAACAACAAAAAATTACACCACAACACAGATGGTATTTATGAAGCATTTACTTGGGGGATTTAAAAAACTCGAAATTCCTAAAATATTGCTTAAAAAGTAATTCTTCATTATTTCATACCCTAATTTGACGACGTTGATTTAAAAAATGTAATTAGTTTTTGTCTACCGTGAAGCACCAGCTCTGAAATGGCCATTTACAATTGCCCCCTTTCCGGTCGGGTGACGTCACGCAAACCGCTCAATCCGAGTTGGCGACGGCGAGACGGCATTGAGAGTTAGCAACCTCAGTGCTTTCTTGTCTCATCTCCATTTTTAATAACAGTGAAAGGAGTTCACAACAAAGAGTGAGCTTAAGAAGAAGTCACATTTTCACTGTTAAAAATGGAAATAAGACAAGAAAGCACCAAGGTCGTGAGCTGACAGCGAGACACCCTTCCCAGTTTTTCGGCCATAATAAGAATGTTTGGATTCCAATAAAGCCGACAACGCAGATCCGAGCTTAAAGCCGCCTGCAGTCGGCCAGCTCTAAGTGGGGCAAGTTGGAAATCATAAATGAATTTTATACCTATCGGCGCTTACTGAGTCAGTCTCCGAAATTAACGTTCTCTATGGTTTTCGCCCTTAGACAGCGAAAGATCTTGTCAGTCTGTTAGTGTTTGAGGACGTGCAATCCCCAACTTGCACTGTATGCTTCCCGCTAAGCCGAGAATGTTTCAGAGCTTTCTATGGTCTGCTGGGGGTAATTATGATAATTGTAAAGCGCGTAGTAGAGCACGCATTAACATTTATATTATTATTATCACTACTTTCTTCGCACAAACACCACCACACAAATTGTCCAGCAGTGGGGAAAAATCACGATTGCAAAATTTAGTGCAAGTGTTTGTATTCATATAACTTAGAAAACGTTCTTCACAGTTGAATATGTCGTGTTTGCATTTTGCCATTATCAGGCAGTCACGAGTGTATCCCAGGAAAAGTTTCCCTGTTTTATAGTATCGACAACATACATGTTCCTACAGAAACGTGTTTTCAATTCAACATAAAAACCATTGATCTCAATGCACCTTTTCTACCAGTGCATGTATTAGTGTGTGTATGTGCGTGTGTGTGTGTGTGTGTGTGTGTGTGTGTGTGTGTGTGTGTGTGTGTGTGTGTGTGTGTGTGTGTGTGTGTGTTCATTTTCCTGTATGTACGTTGTATGTCCCAGGGTCATCTACAGCAAATGAATTTGTGAAGGTGTGTAGGTTGGTGTACACAATTGTAAGGCAGCGTGGTGGAATCAGGCTCTCGTCCCAATAATTAAATCGAAGAAAACAGCTGTTTTCTCCCTGCTTTGCAATTTTTATCAATTTTTTTTTTTTTGGCTCAACACCTTCTAAGTCCATTAACAAACACATCCCTTTGAGGATTTCACCGAAAACGTTGATTAAAGGTACAAAAATATAAATTTACAATTTCCATGGACTCTCTTGCTTTGGAATTTACCAAGCTTTGGCGGCCATTTTCTCTCTAATTTTACCTCTTAAATCAGGTGACCCCCACCTCCTTCAATCCAAAATATCTCCACTTCTTTTGAAGATGGGTAGGTAATTTTTTCATTGAAAGCAAGACAATTGAACAAACTTTAAGACGATACCAATAACTCAATATGCCCAAAAATTGACGAGAGTCTGATTCCACCACGTGCCTCACAATTATAATTTGTCTGTATGCACTTACGCATGTATATCTTTATGTGTGTATGCACATTTGCCTGCATCTACGTCTGTATGTCCCATAGTATAGTCACATACGGCAGATGTACGTGTGTGTCTGCATGTGTTATTTCGTCCGTATGCACTCATGTACAGGGTGATCCCAAAAAAAACTTTACAACTTGTTTTGTAAATATCTTTCTCCATACTGAAGTTTGCGTTTCAGATCTGAACATAACGTTTGGAAGCCAAAAGGAATTTTTCTGATATGTATTTCAGATAAGTCCATTGAATGGTTTTGCTCTATATAACGCATTAAAAAACAACAACTCATTTTCAACCTTGTTGCCATTTTCATAGCATGATGAACCAGTTCGCATTATTAGGCCTACCACTAAAAGTTGCAACAATCGTGCCATATTGCAAGCTACAGCAGTCTAACAAGTGAACAGAAGTCTGCAGATATTATTTTTCCCAAACGTTGTTTGCCTGCTGAGATCTTGGCTACGTTTAATAAATAACAGAAAGCTTTTTGTATTGAACATTACCTTTCCACAAACTCACCATCCCTGACATTTCGTAAGTTCTGTGCACGGCATGGAGAGAATGCTTAGGTGCCCTCAAGACCTTTGACGTCATGAGTAGAGAAGTTCCGTCAGTTTGGATCTATAGCTAATCAGAACTAAAAAGTTCTTTAAAAAATGACCACTTCAGGTCGAACACGCACCATGTGCAACCCTTTAAACGTAACCAGAGTGCAGATTTCAGTAGCCAAGTCCCATGAAACGTCTGTCCGTAGACGATCTGCAGCTAGGTCTTTCCTACACATCAACAGTCTGCATTCTCGTGGCAGATCTTAGCCTACGACTATACCATGTTCATCTTTGCTAGGCCGAGATGGCATAGATCAGAGCATGACAATGTGTTCATAATTCCTGGATTGTCTTGTAAAGAAGGATCATTTCTTCGATGACATTTGGTTTAGTGCAAAGCCCACTTTCATCCTGCGGGACATGTTAACTCCAAAAATGCTGTCTATTGGGCACCCCACTCTATTGTCTCTAGAAGCCTTTTCTTAGTGAACATGTACAGTGTATGTGGCTTTAAAAACTCGTGGTTTAGCAGATCCAGGGCGCCTTTGAACATTTCGAACGACGCGTTAAAAATGGGTCGAGTCCAAAGGAATGAATGTGGAGAACTGCTTCTAGGAATTTCAGAATGAAATCATTACGTTTTTAAAACTCTGTAAAAGAAATTAAGTATTGTTTAATTGTTACAGGGATGGAAAATTAATGCCAAAGAGAAAATAAAGGAAAAGGTCAACTTATCTTTTCATGACTTCCTTTACGAGATTTTTAAACATTGTTGAACTTTGCGTTTTTAGGTGCTTTTTTCTATTAGCCGTTTCCATTTTCAAAACATATTTCTTCTTCGTGGAATTTATGTAAAACAAATTCCTTTTGAATGAATTAGGTCTGTTCCAACTTGCAGCATTCTAGAACAATTTTTGCACGAGATATTCAGAAAAAAAGTTGTAAAGTTTTTATGGGATCACCCTGTATATACTTATGCGTGTGCACATTTGCCTAAATGGACGTCTGTATTCCCTCAGGGTCACCTACAGCAGATGTATATTATGTGTGTCTGCATGTGTTTCATTCGCCTGTGTGCACTTACGTATGTTTATATTATATATATGTTTATATTATATTTGTATACACATTCATCTGTACGCCCGTGTGTATCCCCTAGGGTCACCTACAGCGGCTCGCTGAAACAACAAATCCAACATGTCGGGAGGGAACTACACAGTGGGTCGTCTGACGCCACTTCCGTCGGAGCCAATATGGCTGTGCCCGCTCGGCTTTGTCAACGACGCCTTCTTTTCCATCAGAGGTAGGTTTGGTCAACAGTGTCTGAGGTGGGGCGGTTAGGCGCTTCGCTGTCGCACGCTGGAGACAGCGGTTCGATTCCCGAAAGGAGAGACACTTTTTTAAAAAAATCGAGTATCTGTCTTTCTATTGGGAAGTTCTTTTACTTTTAGTTATAGCCCGGGTTGACAGTGGCTGTGCCCATTCGTCTTGAACAACTAGCTCACAATAGTGCAACTGAAGTAAACGAGGCTGGGGTAGACCCATAGCAACTTACTTGAAAAGCCTAAACAGATGGGTGACGGGAAAAGATATGTTTTTAAGAGCATCTGAGCAATGGAATGGATGGTGAACCATGATCGCCACTGTCTGTCGCAGATCAGGCCCTTGATGATGATGATGATGATAATGATGATGATGATGATGATGATGATGATGATGATGATGATGATGATGATGAT